CGTCCACTTCCTTCTTCACACGAATCGTAGGGTGCTGTGTCGATAGAAACGAGCTGAATTTGTGTGAGTAGATGCGATTGGAGATTGCTGTATCGATTAAGAAACGATTAAGTTGTCGATCTAGTTCGGGTGTGGGACTGTGTTACTTGTGTGTTGGTTTTTGTGGTGTAGTTGTGTGCGTTGTGGAGCGCGCGAACCAGACACGAGCCGGAAACGACATGGATTCTGTCTATAGCATGTTGGTCACGTGAAACATCCTAACAGGCAACAATTAATCATTAAGATGGCGTTATAGTGATCATATAAAAGGAAGACAGTTCTAATGTTTATAAAGCCACTGGTAGATAGTAGTGAAGAACTAACACATGCAAGAGACAATGGTAACAAGTAAATTAACTTTGTATTTTATACAAAAAAAAAACCATGATGAATTTTTCAAACGGGATCTAAATTTACTAACAGCGCGGGGCTCAGGTCTCGAACTAAGTTAACATGTGTGCTCAGTCCTCAGTCCATAGAACATTAATGTAAGATGAAAACACGATTAATAATTCCACATCGAAAATGGAACATATCAATGTTTTATAACAAACTCACATTATATGAAAGTTCGATGTCTTAACTTATTCAACAAAACTCTGACAAGTACAAGAATTGCTGATACCACATGAGGTAGGGTTTCAGACCTACTAAAAGACCAATAAATATTAGGAATCAAACAACCAGTCAGCTCCCCTTTCGCATGACTACTAACCATTACGCCATATACGGATGATTAGATCTCCAGGACGGAAGTCGAGGACCTGTCATGACAGCAGCTTTGAAATGGTGTGAGACTGGCTACGCATATCGAACATATATCACCTTTTACGGTTTGTGAAAAACCATCAATACAACTCGTCCATGATAAGGCAACCCAGGGGCTACCAAGAGACCCAAAGCTTAAAAAAACAGATACAGCAATCGAAGACACCTATCCACCGTCGCCATATAAATGCCATAACCACCGATTAACATGGAATTGTTAAGCGAGCCTTTTTCAAGCTAAGAGGTTGTGACGCACAATCGATAGGGAAAGGGGATCGCTCCGACGGTCATACCCGGGCCATAGAAAACATTTGCCTTTACATGCTAAACTCTTATTGCACATTGGTAACGACATTGCCACATCGAGACGGGTAAGTTTAAACACACCATCGGTGCGTTTTTCCCCATCCCTCAGTGTGGGTTCGCTGCAGTGTAGCAGCCGCGGTGGTAAACTGCCCCGCCCCACTCACAGACACAGACGGGGCGAGAGAGATCTCGTCTGATCGAAAATAATCATAGACGCAATTTGTTTGCTTTTTGCACTGTTAGAAACAGTTGGTGAACTAAGATGCGATATAATGTTTTGTAGCATAAACATGACATATTTTTAAATGTCTCCAGTACGATAAAAAGACCAATAACGTTGGAGCTTACGGCGGTAAAACACACGTGATGACCGTCACGCAACGTGATCGACGACGAATTAGTTGGCAACTAATTTGGTAACGATTACGTAAATTCGGACTAAAGGCGCACCTGAATATAGAGCCGCAGCAGCTAAATTGAATGATGTGTACATATATAAGACCGCACTGGACTATAAGCGCAGGTGTTTTAATGTTAATTACCATATGTAAGGGTTCGTGCACAGAGGGGATTGTCGGGAAAGAGATGGCTGTTTGAGGAAGCTCCCATTTATTAACATTTCAACAAACAAGTTGCATATTTGCATAACGTATTCAAGTGTTATCATTTAGTGCAATAGTAGCTACAGAACATGTACTGTGCTGTGTAAACTGTACTGTATCACATAGCGTTTCAGACACACAAACTTTTCAACTTTCAAACTTAAACGGTGCGCTCCCAGCGCACGTACCGGCAGTGATCTACAGCAGTGGTTTTCAACCAGTGGTACGGGGACAAACTGTCTCGCTCTCGTAATGTCTGTCTGTCTTGCTCTCGTTCTGTCTCTCGTACCACTCTCGGTTCCACTTTTACTTTTGCGCGCTACCTGTCTCACTCTTTTCCGGCCTCCAGCTTTTCCTGCTGGAGCCCGCCGCTTAAAGGTGGGGGGCGCGGAGCGGCCATAGAGCCCATAGAGTTAAAGGTGGTGGACTGTAACCTGTAAAATCCATAGATTTAGGAGGTCCCCTAGTGGCCGTTAGCAGTAAAAATCTATAGATTAGCCGCACCGTTATATAAACCGCAGCGTCGAAAAATGGGAAAAAAGGCGCGGCTTATAGACCGAAAATTACGGTAAGTTGATTAGTTGTTGCACCCCTAATCACAATAGATCCCTTGACAAAAAGCAAAGCGATTTTCCTATTGAATTTCGTATTTTTCAGAAAATAAGCTGTCTCTCTCACATTCATGATACTTAACACGTTTTGTTTAGCAGGATATCCAATATAGTATCACCACTTTGTGATTTTTTTAAGTGTAAATGCAATTGGCAAAAATAAAAAGCTAATGTCATGCTATAAACAAACTACATCATGGTTGCATGGCGGACTCGTGTCGACCTGAAGATGTTTTGTAGTTTATTCGGCCCCTTTGAGCATGCGTCGTTTTTAATGACACATAGAAGCATCGGACAATCACCAGTGGGGTAATTACTGACGTATTTGATGTCTAAGTTTTTATCTTATTTCAGGCATCAAACCAAAAATAAAACTCAAGAAAAGGGAACCAAAAGTGGTGAAATGCGAACTCCAGGTCTCATTCGTGAACCACTCTAAGGGCTAATGCAATATCAAAATCACAGAAAGCCCAATATTTAAAAATGTAAAATGTTATTCTGGATCAAGTATTGTGGTGCTGAGAGATATGGCTGCAAAATATCTTTATACAGACTTCATTAAAATACTTATTTCAGTTGAGTACAGAACTCCATCTATACGAGTACACCATGATTAGATTTCATTTATTTTTAAAAGGAAATGTGCGCACCAATAGGATAATACAAAAATGCCTCTGTCAAATGTTACTGCCACACTTGTTGCATTGCTCTGCAGGCGGTTCATGCAAATATATTAGAGGACATGTTTTTTAGACAGCTATTAATCAATCTGAACATCCCTTAAACGATCCACGCTGTTACCTTGCATTAAAGAAATGCAGAATTGAATTAACTGAAGGTCAAAAACAAATTGTTTCTTAAAGAAAAACAGACAGGGTCACTTCAAAAAGTACAATATTAAATAAGGACATAAGTATGGGTGGAAAAGCATACCTTGGTTGGAGTGCTGAGCGGCGGACAGCAGAGCAGTGATGTTGAAAGCCGGTCCAGCAGTGAGGAGCTTATGAAGCACAGACCGCAAGGAAGCTTGGGTAACGGCAGCTGCCAAGACTGGAGGGAGGAAAGAGTGGACACACACACAATCACACACACAGGTGAGCGAGCTAGGACGTGCAACAGGTATGTGCAAAAACACGCACAGTAATCAGAAAAAAGTAGTTCCTGATTATTTTTCAGCATATGATTGTTGATGATGTTTATAGAATAAAGTAAAACATTTTCATTTTACTCAAACCCATACCGATAAATAGTAAAAACCAGAGAGATCTGGTAATGCCATGGTGGCCTCTTAACTTTCTCAAAAGCTGTATATTGTCAGGTGTCATTTGTCTGCACCATAGTGGCTCGATAATAAGACATGCTTTGATTTTTTTCCACACCGTTTCCTCAAAAAGTAGTCCTCACCCTTTAGGTATTACCTCTCTAAAAATCAGACATAACAATATCTTCCCCAGCAGTTAGCATTGAGAAACTCCCTCTGGAGGGAACTTTGGGTGTTTAGCCTTTCCAGACCATTCACACAAACTAGAACACATTACAGGAAAGGGAAAACCCCCAACAGCATAATAAGGCCTCTTTAACCTCGCCAAAAAAACAAGATTCCCGCCTTGGCAGCAAAACAGTTACCTGTGCATTTGGGGAACTTATGCATTATCCTTCCGTAAACCAGGGAAAGGGTAATGGCAGCAAGAAAACCTGGTTTTAAAGGACCAAGACGCTGGGATCAGAGAATATCTCTCCTACCTTTTTTGTCTTTCCACCATTTTCTCATATGCTTTGGAAACTCTTAAGCCTCTTAAATATCCTCCTCCCTTCTCCTAAAATGTTTGACCTTTAGAGCTTTATTTAGTGCTTGGACGCTGTGTGAATAAATGTTATCTTTACCAGGAGATAGTCTTAACTTTAACGGGACAATTCTCAGAAAACTTTTTTTTTTTTTTTAAATCTGACATTTGTTAGGAGGAGCAACTTTTCTAACACGGTAGATTTAAATCCTAAACAATGTAGCCCCTCAGTGGCCACAACAATTGATGAAAGGTTGCTAAATGTATCAACCATGTATATATTCTTTTAATCATTTTATAGACAAAGCAAAGGGGAATTTCTCTGAGTGTGTGTGCTCTTAAGATAGGCTGGGCTAACGTAAGACTAAATAAAAAAAAACAGCCTGTGTAGGCGCAGGTGTTTAACTGTTGTGAACAGGCTGGTATTCTAATATAATACAACCTCAACTTTTCCAAATACAATCAAAACAAGTCTTAAATATGGTCCAGTGCAGATCAAGGGGAACATTTCACCCTCTGGAAGACAGCCATGTGAAAGTGACGTGTTGTGTTTCTGTTGCGCCTCACCCTCGTTGAGTTTGGCCATGTCCATGTTGCCGTTGTTCATCTGCAGAGTGGCCTGCAGCGCAGGCAGCAGCTGGTGGAGGAGGGCGGGGTCCTGCAGCAGCGCCGGGGAGGGGGACTGGACAGACGGAGGCACCTGGCCCGAGGAGGAGGAAGAGGAGGTGGAGGAGGACATGGCGGAGGGGGTGGAGCCTAAAGCACCAGGAGCAGAGTTCAGGCTCTGAGAAGAAGAGGAAGAGGAGGAATGGCCGGAGTTGGACGCTGTGGACTGGTCCCCTGATGTGGCCTCTGTGAGGGAGAGCAGAGGAATACTTAACACGAGATTTGACGAGGTAAACCGAGACGATGTGCGGACCAGAGAAGTAAATGAAAAAAATTAAGATATTATGAATAAGTCTCTTTTATTTCACTTTTTTATTGTACATTTATTGTAACTATTGTTATGTGTGTGTACACACACTTTCTATTATACACTTTTTTTTTTTTTTTTTTAAATGTGGAAACTGTCACAAAACCCAATTTCATAAAACGTCATAATTATTTCCACTATGAGATTTTTTATTTTTAGACGATCACCGACTCAGTGGTTCAAGACAACAGAAACAAATACAAAAATGGTCATTATTTTCAGAAAAATGTAAAAGACAACACTTTTACAATATCAAAAATCAAACATGAAAAATCTCATATCATGATATTAATTCAATATGAATATAATAAACATCCCTATTTTGCCTATAAACTTATTCAAGTTCAATAAACGCATATTTCGGATATTTATAAAGTGATAGTTCAAATATTCTTCATTTTGTCAGATGACATTGAAATATTTCAGGATGTGGACCAGCAACAGGATTTCTAAAGCAAACTCTGAACTACCTACAATGATGATGATGATGATGATGATGATGATGATGATGATGATGATGATCGTGTAAAAAACAAATAGCTTTGTTTTATGAATCTGTTTAACTTACTTGTTGAGGCTTTGTCCTGCAAGGCCTCTTGTCTGTAGTCCATGTCCCGGGGGAAACTGTTCGCCGGCATCTTGACTGGGTCTTTCTGCCGTTGTTCCCTGAAGCAGATTAAGCAGAAAGTGACAATTTGCAGGCTGCAGTTAGACTCTGAACCCTAAGCTAATGATATCCTGAGAAGACCTGTGTGCTGCGTGATCTGTGAGGGAGTCACTAATGACGTAGTAAAGAAAGCATCTTATCCAGTAAAGTTCATCAGGAAAATATGTACTTAAATGTGGGTGATTTCTTATTAAAAGCTTGAAAGTTTAATACAACCTAAAATAAGCGTTGTTTAGGGACTTATGTAAAATAATTGCCAATAATACCCAGGGTGGTTTTTAGTTATATTACCCATCAGGAGGGAGTTCCATTTTTCCTTTACTTATTTCAAAGTTTGAAGTAGGTGATCTATATGCGTGTGATTTGTTTTGTTGGCTGTGCATTATGATATCTAAAACTCAAGATATAATGAAGAATATTTCCTAAAAGTAGACAGTACTGTTTTACTAGTTCAGCTTTATAGAGTAGTGCAGGAATGAGTGCTTAGCCTGAAAATGGGTTCGCATTTTAGCACTTCTGGGCTCCTATTTAAAAGCTACTTTTTGGACATGTTTTAGCTAGATTCCCAAAATAAAGTCTGTGGGTAATACAAGCTTACGATATTTCAAGTTTGTATAACGACATAAAATGCGTCAGTAAACACCACACCTGTGAACATTTGAAGCTTTCACACATCTTGAAAAATGGCAGTTGCTAACAAGTGACTAAATAAGACTACTAAACGTCATCACGCCGAAGATTAGCTGCCTTTAGCTTACAGTGTGTTGACGCATAGTCATGTGACCATTATGTAGCTTGTTTATAGCCTTAATATTAGCCTGTTACTCCACCGATTGCATTTACGCTTCAACTATTATAAAAGTGCCGTAAATATGTGGAATCATAAACGTATTTGCCACACATCTTATTTTCTACAATGGAAAAATCCAGTTGCTATTTCCAAGTCAGCCTACAGCTAAATGACTTACTCCATTTTAAGTTTTGCTAGCAATTTATAACCTATTACATTTCTAAAGTAACCTGCCTAACGCTGCATGACTTGGCCTTAGAATGAGATTCTTGATTAGCAATTCATGTCAATGATCTTGAGAAAGTCATCCACGCCTTCATGTCGTCCGTCTTGACTACTGCAACTCCCTATATACTGGGACCTGTCAGTCATCCCTGTCTCGCCTTCAACTGGTCCAGAACCCAGGCCAGGCTCCTCACAGGTACCCGGAAGAGGGACCATACAACCCCAATTCTGTCCTCTCTCTCCACTGGCTGCCAGTGCGCTTCAGAATTGATTTCAAACTAGTCCTATTTGGGTATAAAGCCCTAAATGGGCGGGAACCCTCCCATGTTGCAGACCTCCCAATCCTGTTTTCTAGCTCCAGGCCCCTCAGGTGGGCTAACCTGGAGCTCCTGGGTGTCCCACACTCCAAACGTAAACTCAGGGTCAACCATGCGTTTTCTATTGCAGCCCTGACAGTGGAACAGCATCCCCCTCCCTATCAGATTAGCCCCCTCCATTGACTGCTTTAAAACATACTTTTATTCTCTAGCGTTTGACTCCTTATGTGGCTGATAGTGTCTATGCCTATGTATTTGTGTACTTTGGTCAATGTGGGTTGTTTATAAATGAGCCGATTGATTGATGTTTAAAAAAAAAAAAAAAGGTACGCATTGTAACATTTCAATTTAAAAAGGACTTGCCTCTCCAGCAGGTCCTTGGGCTTCTCCCACTGGGAGACCTCAGTTCTACAGTTGTAGTAGTACTTCTTCCCAGAGGAGCTGATGTGTTCTGTCCAGTCATCTGACGGCTCCTGGTGCTGAGAACACAACACATGAGACGTTAATAGGGGTTATTGTGAAAAGTTAAAGAGCACTACAGAAAACCTCCTTAAAGTAGTAAATAAATAATGACATTTCCAAGAGGTATATAATCCAGTGTTTCCCCTACCATTGTCTTGGCGGGGCGCTGCGCCCTGCCAACGGAGCCCCCGCGCCCCGTTTGAAATTCGAGTTGTTTTTTTAAATAAAAAATATATATAGCACCAAATTGCAACTGAAGTAATCTATCTACGGTCACTTTTCACATTGAACATGTGCTCTTTTATTAAATAAACTAAACGCCTATGTTATTTATCCAATGTATGCATGTTTCAGTGTCCACTGCTTTGCGTATTCACATTCTCCCTCCGCTCTGTTTCTGACGGGCGGGGCTCCACACACACACACACACACACACACACACACACACACACACACACACACACACACACACACACACACACACACACACACACACACACACACACACACACACACACACACACACACAAGAGCGGAGGAAAGGAGGAGAACAACAAAGTGTAAAAAAGTCAAACAAATCTGCATTAATGCGCCGCGCTCTGCTGTCTGCTTGTTTGTGTGTGTGTCCCCCCAGTTTCAAATTAGTTTATTATTATTTTTTAACATCAAGCCGTTATCGTCACGGGAGAAGGACACACACAGCCTGCCCAGGGGCACACGCGCAAACGCGACAACGAACTTAGCGGTACCGCAGTTTTGAACTACAGTATTGAATTTGACAGAAAACAACAATGAAACGCCAGCTGAAGAATAGTCTAATGAGTTGGGTGAAAAAAAAGACAGGAGATGTGAGTTGGTTTATTCAGTAAATTAGCTCAGGATAATTGGATGTTCTGTCTACACCTGTTGATGTGAGGCTAATGCAGGATTTGCTAGCTTGATGCTACCGGCATTTAGCGGCAGTGACTCAACAAATTGCCTCTTAAAATGTATTGTCAGCAATGTATGATAAGCAGACTGCTTGTTTAATGTTAGACTCGCACCAATAGCTCAATATCATCAGAACACGATTGCTTTCATATCAGAGATCAGATGAGGTGGAGCTGCCTCCAGCAATAGAGGATGAGGCAGAGAGAAGCAGCAGCAGCAGCACAGGGTTGCAGCAGGTATGTTATATGCTGTAGTCAGGTGATTTAAATGTATCAATGAAAGGAAGGCTACATGATAAGAAGGTAATACATTTTGAATAAAAGTAATACAGTACAGTGTAACACTGTACTGTATTGCTTTTTAATGTACAAATACTTTGTTACTGTACGATATCAATAACAATAATCCACAGCTCCTCTCTCTGCTCCAGAGGATAAAAACATTTCAAAATTCAAAACAAAGCACCCTGCCAAGACAGTAAACCTAGGGGAAACACTGTAAATCATAATACAAGGAAGCTAATGGCCTTTAGCAACAACACTGATAGGAACACTATGCTCCCCTAAAGATAGTAGTATTTAAAAAAAAAAAAAAAAGATTACAACCGAACGGGGGAAAAACTGTCCTTGCGTATGACTGTTCATCTGACTGTAAAGACTCCCAAGTTTCTGTTTTAAAAAAAAGAGTAATCATCCATGTACTCTGGCAGGCATCTCTTGCTTTTCACCCTCAATATCGATTAGCTTTTAAGTATGGATGGCAGCTAGTAATATAAATAACCATGGTCATGTTTACGCAAACAGTTCCGGTCATGGTGACAATTCAAGGGAGAGAATATACTTAGCATCATCCTGTTGTTACCATTTAAATTGCATCAAATTCAAAACGGACTAATTTTTGTAGAGGCCACAACAATACATTATTTGAAAAAACAAAAAGGGGTTAGCTGACCTAAACTAAGATAAAAATGCACAATTACTCTAGATTATAGCGGTAATGGTATTACAGGATGTCATTTGACACTTACTACTGCAACAACAAAAGGCTTTAAAATGCTATAATTTGCAGAAAATAAACAATAATAAAGAAATAATGTATGTTCTGGGCCCGGAAATCTCAGCACAGAAAGGCATAATTATCAGTGTGCATATATTAGCAAAACGTAATCTATAATAACTTAGTCTTGCTAAATCTAAGCTGAAAAGCACCTCTGTCTCTTCCTGTGTGGATTTCCTTTCGTCTCATCTGTCTATCTTATGACTGAAGCATAAAGGTGAACACATGAAGAAAAGCTAGCCTTTTTGCAACACATGTGTCACTTAGTTGTAGAAGTCATGCTGTGTATACATATGCACCACTCCCTCCTGTCTACTTCAAAATGACAACAAATAACAGTGAACACAACTATTGGTTTTGCAGACTAGCCATCGAACAGCATGAAGATTCTATGTCACATTATCCCTGTCTAACTGGTTTGCGATATTATCCCGTTAATCATCAAACTATGCTTCTTTATATGATTCCTAAAATGGCACTTGAATCTAATTGTATTTAAGAATCAAATAGTTTTTGCATCACAGATAGGATTTATCTTTTTAAGTGAACAGCGTTTGGAGTGAAAAACAAAGACTTGACCTATTTTAATGACCCCAAAGAATAGTCCACCTACATAAATAAAAGTAATTCAAAACTAAATCAATATTGTGAGTCTGTTCTTACATGATTACTCCTACTATGCATTTTTTCGAGATTAAGGCTCTTTCTTCACTTATCCAGCATGATAGTGAGCTTTTTAAATAATATTCATGATTATCCTTGTCACCTACATTTGTATTGCTATCTGCAAAATAAATCCTACATCATCTTATCTCTGTCCTAGGAAACGTCAAATATTTAGTATCCGGTCTTACTGCTCAGTAAAAAACAATGACGAAGTGAGATGTATGATGAGATTTCCTAAATGTCTTAACAAAGACAAGCCTGTAACATGAATATAAAGTTATAATCATGCATTGTTTTGGAGAGAGAACTGTCTGCACAGAAAGATGCCTCTATATAATGTCCTGCATACCATGTTTCCCAGTGGCGTGACAGTTATTTCTACAGGAAATGCTGAGGGCATATCATCAGATAACAGCGGACAACGTCTTACCCTGTCTGCAGGCTTGCTCTGAGTCGCATGCGAGTCGGAGGCATGGTGGGAGCTGTTGTTGTGAGAGTTCTCCTGAGGAGAGCCGCTGGTCCCTGCAACAGAGACATTCATCAAGTCACAGAAAATACACAGTGTTCTGCAGAGGACTGAGACTTAGTGCAGCTGAGTGAAACGCTTTGTTAGGTTGTGTTTGCAGTGTTCACATTGAGCAGTGATAGCTGTATTGTGATCTGATGGTTAACTAATCTTAAAGTGCACCTATCATGCTATCTTTAGGCAATAGCATAGATCTCAAATATATAAAAATATATAAAAAACATGTCTATGAAGTGTTTTGCTCAAAATACCAAACAGATCACCCATTATTTCACTTCCTGTTTCAAAAGTGCTGATTTTGGGTATAAAGCTTTAAAAAATAAAAAGTCTAAACTAAATACTACGGTGATGAAACGCCATATCATGGATTATTTCTGAAACAGTATGGAGCTCAAAGGCTTTCTCTCTTGCCGGTTATACCACAAGGTGAGTTCCTTTTTATTTCCTGCTTCTTCACACGAGCTCTGTGCAGTCCAGGTTAGCTCTGAGTGTTAGCAATGCTAATGTAAACATGCACCGACCATATTACGTCCAAAACAGTCGGGCATTGTTTCTGATAGCAACGTTTCTGATAGGGCCATGGGTCCACATTTCCAATATTACGTCATATCGGACGCAAATCTCGATCAGCTCCGTTGTCGCCCAGTCTTTAGAGATTTGGGTACGGAGGACAGGAGAGAGGGTTTTATTTCCTGACGCTGCGTGAGTTCCCTGACACACCAGGGACACATATTTATGTATAAAACACATCAAAAAGTGCATTTTTCATGATAGGTCCCCTTTAAAATGTAAGAAAGTCTTAATTTCCCTCGAAAAGAAGGCAAGAAGATATCAACATTTTAAAAAACATATTAAGCAAATTGCTTTTTTTAAAGAAGACCCATTATGTGTTTGAGTTTTTCCTGTCCTGTAGTGAATTATATAGATTTTTGAGCATGTAAATGGTCTGCAAAGGCTAAAATATCATATTTCGTGCCAGGGGGAGTTTCTCTACCCTGCCTGAAAAGCCTAATTTGGAGTCCTTTGTTTACCTCACATCACACTTGTGCTTCTATTGGCTAGCGCTCAAACACATTGTGCGTCATAGGCTAAGGGGGGGGGGCATCTCTAAGCGGTTTACCAATCAGAGCAGACTGGGCTCTGGTTTCAGACAGAGGGTGAAAAGAGGTGCAGCAGCATATTTGACACAATTGAGCATAATATGTACTCTTTAAACAAAAGATTGGCCGAAAATGTCACATTCAGTGCATCGGAGCATATACAAGTTCACAATGTAAGTATAAAACAAAAGTTTAAATGAACAAAGCAAAAGCTAATACTCATCAAAAAACCCTACATAAAATGAACTACAATAAGATAAGTCCTACAACAATCTGATATATTCTATTTGCCGTGCAATAGCTGAAGCAAATTGTTCCCCTTTCCTTTTTGTCTAGAAACCTTTATACATCATACATATATCCACGTGTAAGAATAAAAAAATCCATGCTTACCATTTTTTCCTCTAACCGTGTGAGAGGTTTTTGCCTTGCCATGCCCCGCGCCGTCTCCATGTCTGCTGACAGGACTTTCGTCAGAGCGTCGCAGCATCTTGTAAGGGGGCGTGGGGTCTGATGAGCCATCGCGCACCTTGTCATAGCGGTGAAGGCTGCTGGATTGGCTCTTTGGCTGAGATTTATGGGTCTGGATTGAATAAAGCATGAGAGAAAGGCTTGTTGGGATGTGGATGTGTCATTAGATTGTTAAATACATTTCCAATGTGTGAAATCCACGTCTCTAATAAATATTACAATTTTAGTCTACAGGAGATGTTCTCTGCCTTCGAGCATTTATTTAACGCTACAGGAAGCCAGTATTAGGAAGGTATGTTCAAGGAATACTATGGTGTCAACATGTGTCCTAACTGGACAAGCCTGATGCCATATCAACACAATTTAGAGAGAGAGAAAAAACTCTCCTAAGCTTTGCAAAAACATTACACAAACTACCACAGCAGGACTTCCTATGGAGCGTTTTGTAAGAGCCATGTATATGAATGTAAATACAATCTTAAGTGGTTTATTTTGTTCAAAGCTATTATTAAGTTACATTATAATTGGGAGTTTAACTGGTGTGGTAATTGAGACCCAACTCATGCTTTATACGTGAAAATGTATGTTGAGTTCGATCAGGGTTGATGCATTCACCATATAACTACATGGATATTAATTTACTTTAATGGAAATACTGCACTTTAATTAGTCATGTTAGAGGAAACTGATGACAGTTGACTGTTAACAGATGTCATATGTCATACCTGATAGGATTGTGAATCCCTTCTGTCGTTGCACCTGGGAAAACACACAGAACAAAACATTTTAAAATGTTAGCATTTTAACGGTGTAGTTCGTTTTCTCAATTAGCAACACACTTTCTGGAACATATTAAACGTCAGCTACCGGCTATTGATAGCCGTTAGCAAAGTTAGCTTGATTCGCTACCTTGGAAACAACAGTTTTTTTTGTCAATAGCGGAATGTAACCGATCATTTTTTTTAATGTATTATACATAATGTAGACTATATACGAGAAGTGTATCTGTATCATGTTAGTTAGCTAACATTACGTTTACGATAAGCTTTAGGGAATAACCGGAATCCAAAGCTAATTGCATAAACTGTTAGCTTGTAGCACTGAAAGCTAAAGGCTACAGCCAAAGATAAATAACCGGCTAACAAATGAAATATATGGTAAACCAAAGGACTAACTTTAACTATGTTACAGTGTGTGCTTAAATTACCCATCGCTGACTCTTGCTGGTTTCCTTGCATACATCACCATCAAGGCCGTGGTGATGTGTGTGTGTGTGAGAGGGGGAACCGTGGCCTCCTGTATGTCTGCTCTCACAGTTCTCTTTTCTTCAGCTTCCTGATATCTGGATTTTCTATAACCTACCAAACAGATACCTACAAGCTGTGCATCGGGCACAAGCACTGCATAGTGGGTGGTCTTTATCACAAACCACCCTCAGTGCATCGTCTGGCATATAGTTACGGTATACGCTTAGTTCGGCCGATGTAGTTCAGCGAAAAGCAGCAGAGTCAGGAGGAAACGGAGAAGACGGACTCCTCGGTAATGTTTAGCTAGAGAAAAAGAAGTTCCGCTTCTATATTTCAAAATAAAAGAACTGGCAAATATGCTATTTAAGGAAAGAAAAAAGAGAGAGATGAAGAATACATTGTTAACTTCTTCAAGTGTCATTCAATTCGGCATTTAAAAAGCAAAACAACCCAACATATTAATGGTATCAATAAAGTGTAAACAATGACGGCTGAAACAGTGCAGAACCATAGTGCAGAACACAAGTTATGTATATTCCTAGTGTACTTATGACAGAACATTTTCTCAATGGGACGTACAGTGTGTACACAAACATATAATAATAAGTAAAACTGTACATCCCATTGAGAAATAATGTCATGTTTTTTTATCAAACAGAATTGGCTACCAGAACATATGTATATATTTTTAATGTTTTTGTTAATACATTGAAAACGAAACTCTGTTATCATTCTTGTCAAAGAAAATCGACCTCGTTAACCAAACATTTACCATGTTCTTTCGGTTCTTTCTTACGTATTTATTGCTTTGACCATTTAAAGTTTACGCTCTTGTTTTGAAGTAAGTAACTCCATTTCCGGTATTAGCCTAGCTGTCTCTGGCTAACGTGACGCAGCTATAAACGGAGCTAGTTGTTGCTGTGGACTCCTCCTACGAGTTCACATCTCGTTTGCTGGACATTTTCTGGGACACACCCACGGTCTGTGCTAGTCTGCTCTGTTGTTTCCATCCTCTTGGAGCTACATGAACACTTGACTACCATACACTGTATGTCTAATACTGTGTTCTCCTCCTTGCACTCAGTTGGTGTGGTGTGGATAGTGAGGCACTACATTATACTGAATGAATCTCCGGTCAGTGCACAGATGAGCTACAAATACACCTTTATTTTTGCATGTATCCTATCCACAACACATTTATTTTTGATAAACTCTCTGTTAGCTTCCCCACAGAGAGGTCAATGGTCTTGAAATACACACTGAACATGGTAAGTAGTGCTTTGAATAAAGTGTCCTAAAGACCCCAATGAAAATAATTATAATGAAAGCCCCCCAAAATAGGGTGAATATTTGATATTTTGACATCCATGACCCAAAATCTCCCTTCCTGTGATTGCTAAGGTTGATGCACACACAATTATTATTCCTTTAAAAACAAAAATATGTATATAATTCATTACCAAAGAGAACCATTTGAAATAAAATAGCAAAAACGAACTAAAAGGATGCAAATGCTGACCTAAAAAATAAATGTAATCTTAAATCTGGAAAGTGAACTAGTATGCAAACTTTACGCCCCATTCTCTTTGATTGCTGTATTGATTATCTGTCGGCTTGATTTAGGTCAGACCTGACACCTATTGACACAATAAAGGACAGTCTCTTTTTAAAATCCAACCAGTTGATCGCATTACAACCGTTCTCTACAAGTAGATGTTCAAATGCAGCTGCTCTTTGGGTATTAAGGGATAAGGCCTGTCTGAACTGGGCATGATGGAATGGAGCGTCTCTGGTGAGTGCACCTTACATTTTGTGTGGGAGCTGCTTTACTTAACTTAAAATGTGTTGGATTGATCGTAAACATTACACTCCTAATCTGTAAACTCAATTATTTGTCAAAAACAATTCATTATTTACTCACAATATTTTTATTTTATTATTAAATTACTGGTATTGAGACAAGATAATAAAACAAAAATAAATATCAGATTGCATTTGATATTCTGACTGTTTCTCTAGCTGTGCTTATTGAAGGATACATGACAATATTTATTTACAGTTTAAGTATAACAAGGGAAATTAGATGGAACAAATCTTCAATTCAACCAACCATTACATTATTTTAAGCGTTATATATATACAGTATATGGTTTGAGTTATGTTTTCATATTTCGTTTGATGCAATTTTAGGCGAGTAAAACTCACCTGGTTGTAGTCTCAATATAATGCAAATGTACAGGGTATTAAAAATATAATGAACAATTTAATGTTTACTCATGTATTGACATTGGTGTATGGACAGTGAAAAAGTGCAATAGAACAGATGTTGAAATATGTAATTCCAGCATTAGGGGGCAGTAATATCTCAGAAGAAGCATATATTGTGGAAAAAATAAACATTTATTTTTTATTTTTCTGCCACACTTTCTTTTACCAATAATAAAAACAAAAGAAATCTGGAGAATATTATAATATTACTTTTTCTTTCTTTTTTTTCCAGAGTGATGAGGATGCTGAGCCGAACAGAAAACAGAGGTGGGTCCAAAGTGTAGCAGGTTATCAGGTTATTTGAGGCGATATGTTGGTAATTTGATTCGATATGTCATTTTTCACCTCCCTTATATCCTTAGAATACTTGCAAAGCTGTACAATGAAGTAATATTTTATAGTTGTTCTTATAACGTGTAAGATATCACCTCCGTCTTTGGGTTTTTTGACCTCACCTCATAGCATTAAAATAGGATCAGTAAATTAGGAGCTGTGCTCATTGGTGTATGTGTTCTGCTACTCCTGCAGGCGTGTGCAGGCTGCTATCTTCAGTGATGTCTGGAACAGAGTCTCATACGGACAGAGAGGAGGACTACAGGTTCCTCCACAGCATGCTGATGGAGAAGAAACTCCACCTGCTCTTCAAGGTGGAAACACATTTGTGCTTTAAATTGGCCTTACTATGCTTTCCGGATTTTCCCTTTCCTGTAGTGTACTATACAGGTTTGTGTGCATCTAAATGTTCTGCAAAGGATAACATCTCAAAGGTCCCTCCAGAGGGTGTTTCTCTCATACACCCCCCCCCTGCCTGAAACGCCTCCATTGGACTTTGTTTACTGCATCACAAGCAGTATGAGATAATAAAGACCTCTATTTACATCAAAGCTTGTAGAAATGTCACAGTAGAGGCACAAAATACAAATATGTACCTGAAATGAGCCTAATAGGGCCCCTTTAATGATTCGTGCTTGAGTTTTTTCCACTTGTTACTTCTTACTTAGTAGGTCAAATAACAAAAGTATTATCCACATGCAGTGGTTGACAGTAACATTTAGATCTACTAAAGTACTGTACTTACAATGTTATGTTATTGTACTTTACCTAAAGTAAGTATACTGTATATATTACAACAATTGAAGCATTTTTACTGTACTGCCTTTATTTATAAACTTTAATTACTTTCGAGTTCCAGATCCAGATGAATAATACAAAATGTAATCTTATCTGTAATGTCTTACTACAAGTTAAGATACACTTTATTGAACCTAAGCTAACTTGCAGAAATAAATGTAATTAAAAAAACTCCTCATTTACAAGCTTATAATAAATTATATTTTATTTCTATAAATAAATCATTAAAGATGGAAAAGTATTAGTTATAATAGTAGTTGTAGCAGTATTAAGAAATGCATAAAGTGCCTTTTTTACTGAAGAGAAAACCTTCATTGTGATACCTTCCTGACTTGGCAGATCCACGAGCGTCTGAAGCGTTTTGAGAAGCGGAGCCCCATCCCCATCCAAGAGCACGCAGCGAGTCTGGCTTCAGAAGTAAGTGACTCTCTCCAAACATTTTTGCAGAGGATGACAGTTTGACAGGAGAGGGAACAGGGAAGACATTGTTCAAATCGTTTCCTCCACATCGAGACATATTATCTGTCGCACAGAAGCACGAGTGGATTGACCATCCTTCTTATGTGCACCAAATTATGAAATGTTATCTCAAAACTCTCTGTAACCTCTGATTTCGTCACTTGAAGTGTTGTGTTATGTCTTCAAGCCAGGAGTAAGGTCATTGAGGACGGTGCAGAACAAAAGGCTGCTAAAACCATTTTGTGTGCAGTCTAATGTTGCAGGTTGGATGAATACAGTTAACTTCAGATTTAAAATGAAGTGACAGAGAGTGCTCCCACTGCGGCACCACCAGTCTCGATTCCCATGAAATAGATGTGAATCATCTTTCAAATACCAGTCCTTTTTGTTCATGTTACCAACCAATCACTGCTATATTTCCATCTCACACAACTATACCTCCCTTGAACCACTTTGGTAATTTTACATCTTCATTTCCTCATTCCCCCTCTTGTTCCTGGTCAAAGTGTTAAACAAGGACATTCTAGATAACACTTTGTTTTTACTCTCCACCTTTTCTTATATTCATCCCCAAATCAAACAATTATCTTTACTATAGAGGAGTGCAGGAATGAGTCCTAAACCCGTAAATTAGTTCGCATTTTAGCACTTCTGGTTCACGCCGTTCGAAGCCAAACATGCTTTCGGTTAGATACCTAAAAAAAGGTCTGTGGTTAACACAAGCTTAAGAGAGTGTCACGTATTGTTCTTCAACATAAAATAGGTGTGTAAATATGCATCATATTAACGGCGGTGGTAATGAGTGACTTAACAAAACAGTTAAATGTCATCATGCAACACAAGTCTGCTTTTAGCTTAGCGGTGGTGACTCACAGCCATGCGAATGTTCAATCAATCAATCAATGTTTATTTATATAGCCCAATATCACAAATGTTACATTTGTCTCAGTGGACTTCACAGTTTGTACAGAATATCAGTATGACAATACGACACCCTCTGTCCTTAGACCCTCACATCGTACAAGGAAAAACTTCCAGAGAAAACCCACAGTTTAAAGGGAAAAATGGGAGAAACCTCAGGGAGAGCAACAGAGGAGGGATCCCTCTCCCAGGACGGACAGACGTGCAATAGATGCCGTGTGTAAATTGAAAAGATAATACATTTGCAACATAGGTAGTCCAAATGTTTGGAAATGCATGTGTGTATAATAGGAAGATGAATGTTATGTAGTTGTTAACTTTAAAGCTGCATTCACATCACAAGTGGTACACAGCTCTCCACTGACATTGCCGTTGTGTTCCTATGAAGAGAGCGGTGCTGCCATATTAGGGGAAAGTGCAACTCAGTGTAGCGCACTGCTCAAAGCTATCATCTTGCGCTGTGCTTAAAGTTCAAATTATGAAAACTTTGACGCTTTACCACTTACCTTTTGACGCGCAACCAATCAGATAACAGCTTCAGAAAGACGCGCAAGCTAGCAGGCGAAGTCACCACATGAACAAAACTTTACTTGTCGTTTTCACCTAAAGGCCCTGAGCCTAACTTCATGTTGAGCAAAATGTCAATGTTAGCTCTTTATATATAGTCAATGCATTAGCTATTTAACGCCTAAAAAATCATGAAATGGGTGTAAATATGTGGATATTATCCAGCTGAAGAAAATGTATGAATTTTTTTCTCCAGAATCCAATTGAAATGTCCCATTATGTTTTGTCAAGGGCCCCTTAGCGATGCTAAGCTAACCGCTGACTGTTATTCTCGCCATGTTATTGTCTCTTTACCCCCATATCCTAGCCCTGATACTCCTCTCTTCACTCCCTTAGCTTCAGATTCTGTTAGACAGCCACTCTCTGCCTGGCTTAAATGATCAGGACCCACTGGACGGGCCAAACCACGGCTCTGTTTCCCCTCAGAGAGGCTTCTGTTTGCTCACAGTGGAAACTAATGACCTTCATGCATTGTGTCTCTGGAGTGTGCCTGGACATCTTGAAGTATTAGAAGTCATAACAGTAATACACTCGACAGGACGGCCGACTGCCCACAGTCCCTCACCGCCTCTCCAGTCAAAACTGACGGTCAAGGCTGTTCTGTTTTAGCCGTCGCCGCAGATGCCGTGTAGCCTTGAACATTTGGGAGCGTTTTTTCCAACAGTGCCTAAAAGACATGAAACCAGAACAAGAACACGGACAAATAATTTACATAAAGAAGAAAAGCAAAAAAGTCCCAGTGACGTGAACGGACCACATTAAATATGTGTCACTACAGTCTGAATCAGATACAAGTTTAAAAAAAAAACTTTTTGTCTCTCTTGGCTAGTACTGTAGACTGGAGCAAACCTCACTCAGGCCATGATATGATTTGAAACCTCTAATTTCGAAATGATATACTGTCTTACTTCCAGTTGGCGGAAGAGCTGATAAACCAAGGCTGGACAGATGAAATCAAAGAACTAGTTGGCCTCTTTTCCCAACCCGACTTTAAGGTGAAGAGTATCTCCTTCTATGATGATGATGATGTGTTCCTGTAGCTTCTAATGTGTGTCAACCTTAAACTCCCCCAGTCAAGTCTTTTGACCAGTATCGCATCATTTCTACCCAAAGAAAACGTTAAAAATAACTTAAAATGTTGGAAAATATGCTTCTTTGCTTTCTTGCCAAGAGGTATCAGAGATGTTTGTTTAACTCTTTAACCTAAGCCTTTGGACAGACATATTGAGCAATCTTCTCAAAAGTAGTGACAATTCCAATGGTGACCTCTTCTCAACAGGACTTTGTCTCTTACAGGCTAGTAACAGCAATAAAGGGATCATAGCACTGATTCATCAAACCTCGAGAGACTTGGGTGTATCAATCAATCAATGTTTATTTATATAGCCCAATATCACAAATGTTACATTTGTCTCAGTGGACTTCACAGTTTGTACAGAATATCAGTATGACAATACGACACCCTCTGTCCTTAGACCCTCACATCGTACAAGGAAAAACTTCCAGAGAAAACCCACAGTTTAAAGGGAAAAATGGGAGAAACCTCAGGGAGAGCAACAGAGGAGGGATCCCTCTCCCAGGACGGACAGACGTGCAATAGATGCCGTGTGTAAATTGAAAAGATAATACATTTGCAACATAGGTAGTCCAAATGTTTGGAAATGCATGTGTGTATAATAGGAAGATGAATCCACGAGGATATCCATCCAGGACTTGTGATCCAGGACCACAGCCACGACTCAAGATCCAGGACTCGCGATCCATGACACAGGACCGCAGGATCATCCATGACTCCGGATCCCGGCGTATATAGACACCAAAAAGAAAGAAATTTGGGGAAGCTGGGTTAATCGGAACATGAGAGTACACAGGTATAGACAGAGAGAAGGAAGAAGTAAGATGTCCCCCGACAAACTAAGCCTATATCAGCAAAACTAGGGGCTGGATCTAATCAGCCCTAACTATAAGCTTTATCAAAAAGGAAGGTCTTAAGCGCACTCTTAAAAACGGATAGGGTGTCTGCCGTCCGAACACAAACTGGAAACTGATTCCACAAAAGTGGAGCTTGATAAGAAAAGGCTCTGTATATAACCAGAAGCATCTTCTTTAAATGACCATTCATTTTTTCTCTCTTGAACAACACATGCATTGAACATATGCTCCAAAATTGCATGTAGTGCTGGGATGGCGGATGAATAAGTGGTTCATTGGGTTTATTCCCTTTTTCTATTTTCTTTCTCTTCCTTTCTCTCTCTTTTTGAATGTACAACATTTTGGGAAATAGTGTTATAATTGAAGTAACGTTCCATATTCTGTTTGAGTATCTAGATTGTTTTGCAGAAACCCTGCCAATAATAATATTTCAAACATAAATATCACTACAGATAGGGAATGGTTAGCTTACCTACAGACTTTAAGACAGGTAAAGTGCCTGACAAACCTGTTGCTAGCTAGAGATTTGTATTGCTCTTCTCATCTAACTCTTGACTAGAAAGTATAAAATAGTATTTTCCACGTAAACATGACCCTTAACTGTGCAGTATTCTGTTCCTGAAGCATATCCTTTAAATTAATCCAACTGTAAATTCTATTTGTATGTATTTCCCCTAATTATTTTACCAACTGAGAGGTGTTGACAACTATTAACCACACTGTAAATGAAGCTAAATAACTCCCTAGTTATGTCTATTAGTTTTCACTCATAGAGGCCCAGACAACCCCAATGCATGTTTCCTTATGTCAGATCTGCTGACAGTCATATTTCAGACACTCACACACATCCACACACACCCAAAAAAGAAAATCACACACCCAAAAAAGAAAATCACACACACACACACACACACACACACACACACACACACACACACACACACACACACACACACACACACACACACACACACACACACACACACACACACATTATAGAAATCATTGCTGTTCTTAATGAGAAGCCAAGGCCAGCCGAGAACTAACAGGTTGTTTAAACAGTCCTAATGACCAGTTTGTTCTTGGCCCCAAAGCTGAAGCTCACACATACTTATGAGAAACTCAGGGTATAATTTTCTGTGAATGGATGTTTGTTTTTTGAAAACCTGTCTCTGAAAGTGGCCAGAAACACATTGCTCACGCGCTGGCAGCTTCTGAGCCGGACAATTGTTGATGGACAACATGGATATGTAGACTAACTGTATTGGCTGGTTGTTAAAATCAATTTGATGAGCACATAATTCCCCATTCTTCTTATTCTTTATTATCACAACGAATACCCTGTTTTTTGAAATCCTACCTTTAGGCTCACGGGAGAGATAACCATTTATCCAGAGTAGTTTTTTTTCGGCAAGCAAACTTTGAGTTTATGCAAGGCCAAAGTTAAAAAAGAATGAACTCAAATTGTCAAAACTGGCATTGATAGACTGTTAAATATCAATTCATTGTCCCTTCAAAGGATTTATTTTCATAAGACGTGTGTTGTTAGAGCGTAGCCAGTATGACTGTTAGCAGTGTGGGGGGTTGTTTTTAGGTGGCCCAAATGCTGGCAGTACAATCCAGACTAAATCAATTTTGGCATGTTGGCACAGACAAAATTGAAGTCTTGCAACCAAGAGTTTGCTGTATTTGGATTACGTTGCTGTAGTGGGTGCAGGCAGGCCAGCCAAACCTATTGGAATTTTTGCACAGCCGCAGTCACCTTTTATTAGTCAACGTGGATTGTTGACATTTTTGTTTAGTGCTTATCAATTTTTAACCTTACAATTATATTATACCATCTGAAGCCTAACAAGTTAGCCCAAAATTGTTGTTCAAAGCAGAAAATGTATACAGTATAAGAAGTGGAAATAGTTACCGTGACGCCATTCATTGGTTTATGGCAGGGGAGTCCAAACTACGGCCCGAGGGCCAACTGATGCCTGTGGCGCATTTTTTATTGGCCTGCAGCAAATTCTAAAAGTATAATGGAATATGTTGCACTTGTACTTATACTTGTCTTATAATGAACTTATATAACATACAGTATTTGTAAACATTTGTTACACAGTAGTATTCATGTGTTAATAAGCCCAATTTTTCAATAACCTATTTCCATAACAACCTTGAAATATACCCTTCCTTTTCCCCCTTATAAGCAATCCGAGGCTCCTATTTTAAGGAATGAGCTGCCAACCCTTTTTGTCACAAAATAAAGGAAACCCTATGGGGAGCTGTGATGTATGCTCTATATATTCAAATAGCAAGCATCATTTAATTTATTTGATTGATTTTGCTAACTTATAACTTAACTTATGAGGCAATATACCTCACTTCTAGTGAAATGTTTTTCTTTATGTGGCCCTTAGTGAAAAAAGTTTGGACACCCCTGGTTTACTGATTACGGTATGCTTGAGCTTGGCACTTTGGTCATTGCCATTTTGGTTGATGGCCATCACTATCCTATTTCTATGGAACCAAAAGTCATTCGAGAAGGTGAAGCTAAGCACAACTGAACGCCAAGAACAAGACATTTTTTGGAGGCCAAAATGTTACAATTATCTTTCCTGAACTGTAAACACACTGAAAGGGTAAAAGTTCTTAGATAAAACCATGTGGAGCACTAAAGACGAACAACATCATAGTTCAATCAGGAGAGACGTGATGTATGGAATACATGTTTATTATCGGGTCACATTATATAAATGAAATATGACAGTTTATAACAAGTGAATGAAATGGTGTTTGGCGATTAGGCCCAGGTTTTGTAGGATGTCATTCGGGAAGGGAAGAACCGTTTCCGATGAACCCCCCTGGGTCTAGACACTGGTGGTGGTGATAAGTAGGTCCGGTTGGAAGGGAGAAGGTTGAGCTTGGCCCTGAGTTGGAAGCAGGAGGCGAAGGGGTGGAGGAGGGTTGCGCGTTGACACCTGGAAGACAGCTGATGGAAAAGGGGAGAGCATATATGGAGGGATTAACGGGTGCGATGATTAGGCTTGTGAATGTAGGGACGTGATAGGTTAGCTGAGGAGTGGCGCTCCCTATCATTTAGTGAAGGGAGCGAGTATTGCCATGACGCGCAATACGAAGTGATAGGTCTTCCTGCCTGAACTTGCGCTGAGCTTCATNGTGTGTGTGTGTGTGTGTGTGTGTGTGTGTGTGTTGCTGCATGTAGCAGCTGCGTGTGTGTAAACTGCCCCGCCCCCTCACACACAGACGGGGGAGAGAGATCTCTCTCTCCCCCGTCTGTGTGTGAGGGGGCGGGGCAGTTTACACACACGCAGCTGCTACATGCAGCAACACACACACACACACACACACACACACACACACACACACACACACACACACACACACACACACACACACACACACACTTTACTCATCTCGATGTGGACAATCCTTTTTACCAAAAGCGCAATAAGAGTTTAGCATGTAAGGGCGGTAACACGAGCAATTTGTCTAAACATTTAGCAAAAGTGCACCAAATTCAGACGGAGGAATGCACCGGGTTCGACTGTCTTTCTAGTAGCTCTGTAGCCCCATCCACGAGTAACGTTTCCACGTCAGGTGTTATGTATGCTAGCAGCAACACACAGAGTTAACTCAATGATACAAACATGGGTTAATGATGAGAGGCAACTGAGTTATTCTTTATTTTGTTAAAGTTTAACCTATTCTGTTTACAGTTCTGTCTTCAGATTATTTAATATGATTTGTTAAAACATTGTTGTTTCTTTTGATGTGAAATATTATTTATTTAATTTAAATAAAAAGCAATGTTAATCTAGTTCAAAATGTGTTAAGTTAATTTAATAATATATGGATTTTTGAATCAAGTATTCATCTTTATTGTCTTCATTGTTAGTTTCCACATGCCTAAAACAACCTCAAGCTAAATCTAAAAGTTGACGGCTAAATAAGAGCGTTTGAGAAATTGTGCAAGACATACAGTAACAGTCCGAATAGTCGATTAATCGTTTCATTAATCGATAGATTAATCGATTATCAAATTAGTCGTTTGTTGCAGCCCTAGTTGTGATGCTAATTTTGATCAGTATTGCGCATACAGCAATTTGAATATTGCACTAGTCCACATTGCGCTTTTGATAACGTTTCAATACATTGTGCAGCCCTACTTGTATGACTAGCCTTTTTAATGAGCTAGTTGTAGTTTGCTGCTAAATCAATTCTTCATGTGTACAATACTTCACTTCTTGCAAGGAATGGACTGCAGGCTTTGGGTTGACACTGTACAACGCCAGGGTTGATGCATGGTCACAGCTGATGAGTGTTTGTGAGTAATGAGAGAGCCTTCCCTCCTTCAGCCCAGCACTCCAGTCAGTCCCCGGTCTCCCTGACGTCGGACGCCTCATCACCGCGGCCGTACGTCTCACCACGGAACGGCACGCCGCAGAGCTCCCAGAAACCCCCCCTGGGCATGCACCCTGGCGGCGTCACATCGTCACAAACAAGGGTGAGTCGCAGGACCTAAAGTAGACGAGGAGTACTTCCCCTTGCTCATGACTCAAGCCCACTTTCTTCCTTGACAAAACACCCTTTTGTTTTCACTCCCATTTCTTCATCTCTTGTCGTCTCTTGTCCCCTCCACAGGGCAGCATGTCTTCAGCGAAACAAGGACCAGTCCCTGTGCCTCAGACCGCAGAGAAGCGTCCAGAGGACCCCAGAATTATCCAGCAGAGAAGGTAGGAATTGCTTCAAGACGCCATTTTTATTTTGTGCTAAAAAATTGCCTGGAGGTATGGTCAACGCTTAAAACAACCAGAAGAAAGTAAACTAAAAGAACGACTGAATTCCAAAAACATATTTTACAGACCTCAACAGCAACATCAACAGTTTTCAAAGGGACTATTTGTTTAGTCCTTTAGAAAATTCTAGTTTCCAAAGGTGTTTTATTTTCTGGAAAGATGTAGTTACTTATAGTCCAGTATGGAGGCATACCATTACATGATCATTCTGTAGTTCTTTTGTCCAGCAGTATTTTATCATACTTGTCAAGCAATTATTCATCTCACTTGAATTTCTCATGGCAGTTAAAGTGGTAAATACAAGGTTGAGGATGTTTATTCACACAAATGTAATAACGGAGCAGTGTTTGAGTTATTCTAAGGTTATATTACGGAGAAGTAAATGCTACGCATGGATAAATTCAAGTTTACATGATCCAAAGCGAAAATGCATCTGAACCCCCCCACTCGTTGTCTCGCCCCAGCAGCCAGGAACTCCTGTGCTCTGGATCAAACGCACACGGCGCTGCCTTGCCCCACGCCCCCCCCGGCAGCAGCAGCAGCCAGACCCAGCCCGACAACCCCGGCACCTTCACCCCCAGCCTGGCAACTCATTTTGACGAGAGCCTCATCAGACATATCCAAGGATGGCCTTCAGAGAACACTGAGAAACAGGTACTGCCCCAAGTACAAAAAAACTATGCATGGTCCCTTTGAATCCTTGAAAGTTTGTGATTTTGACGTGAGGGGAACTCAGGGTTTTGAAACGTTTTGGGGGAAAAAAACAAATACAGTATACCTGGGTTATTGAACGTTTATTTAATATATGTTATTTAATAAAAATTAAAAAATAAAGTTTTGATATATATTTTTCTATCTTTGTCTCTGAGCTTGCCGGTTCTCCCGATGCAATTAATCAGTTTTGTAACAATAATTAACTTGGATGTGAAATATTTTCAAATAAATGTTAAACATTTTCACTGTTGTGACAAAACTGCAGTAATCTGACAGCACTCTTAAATTCAATTCCTACTACTACAATAACCGTAAAAACACCTATTTAAAGTTGATAACAAAAATAGGACTAGACATTTAAAGCGGCATTCTGAAACTATTTTGGAATAATTTGTTTCAGTCCTAAAGGAAAAATTATGAAAAGGAATCAAATCTAGCAGGTGTGAAAGAAACACGTAGATACCCCAGTATTATAAGGCCCTATTGGGTCTTATTTTTGAGAAGTTCTTAAAAGTTCTGTAATTGGATTATGTTTTATTTCATTACCTGTAATCTGTACATAGATATAATGAACATGTTAGTGTTGCAAACTCTCAGTAATGTTATTAATGCTAATGACTTATGCCAGTAGTGTAACCACCTGTTGCTAATAATAAGTTGTGCTTAATATCAGTGTGTTCAGCAGGTTAATTGCAAGCAAACGTTTTGATAATTTTATGTTATATGCAAGTCTTATAATGCACATGTTTATGGATGCCCCACTCACTAGACCTGGCAGACAGCACATGACATGTTATTTAACTGACGCTTTTATCCAAAGCGACTTGCATACACTTCAATACTGAAGCCATGACTATGGGAGCATTTTTTGGAGTTAGGTATCTTGTCCAAGGTAACTCCGATGTTCTGAATGCAGAGGGAGGGGTCAAACCACTGATCCTCTGATTGGTAGATCAGTGTAATACCCCTTGAGCCAATGGCCCGATGTTTCTGTATTTCAATCACATTTTTTAAAAACCAATGCATGCCTCGAATGTCCTTTGTGCCACCAGTATGCAACATTGACAATACGCTTCATCCCTCTCCCTCAGGCGGCTCGGTTGCGCGAGGACATCCACAACATGGGCAGCTTGTACATGTCTGAGATCTGCACGGAGATGAAAAACCTGCGCTCCCTGGTCAGAGTGTGTGAAATTCAGGCCACACTGAGGGAACAGAGGTGAGGTCAATGTGACATTAGCATCCACATTAGCTAAAGTAAACATTCATATCATTACATTGATTTACTTATTTCCTCCTCAACTACAGAATCCTGTTTCTGAGGCAGCAGAGCAAAGAGCTGGACAAGCTGAAGAACCAGAACTCGTACATGGTGTGAGGACCTTACCTGAGGAGAAAGAACCGTGATGGATGGATTGAAATAATGATCGGAATAGACACGGACAGCAAGCTGCTGCAGCCTGTTAATTCTCCCTAGCAGAGAAGCTGTTAAAGAACCTCCATCCTGAACACGTCTTTTTCTTTTTCTTTTCTTTAACAGAAAAATCTTTTTCCATTGTCCACCACATGAATTGCTCTCGCTGAAAGTACCGGTTCGGCGCGTCGGACACTTTAACCGAGCGGACACGGAGGACCTGAGGCTCCTTTTTTTTCCTTTTTTTTTTTTTCAAAAACAGCACCTTTCGGGACCGTGAACCTTGGATTGTGTGTATTGTATCGGGTTAACTTGTTTTCTGGTGTGTTTTTGATGTGTAGTGGTCAGGAAAAGATTACATTCTTTGGAAAATGAACTAAAAAAACAAACCATCTCATAATAATCAGTGTGGCAAAGTCCCGGAGGGGTGGGGGGGGGTTGATCATGCTCCCCGATCTTCTAGAAATTGCATTGAAATGTATGGATTCAATGGCAGTGATGTTACTAATGTTATTTTTAATTCACTATACTTGTCCGTGATTTTCTTTGCCATACCCAGTGTGTCTTCGAAGCTGGTTGCTTTTACACATCATGAAATTAGCGGAGACCACTTTTGGCCAGATTTTCGAAAATAAATACTTTAAATGTGCTTCAGTTGCTTTGTCCCAGTGGTGCAGATTTAGCTGGGACTCTAAGGCTAGCTTTGTCAAACACACTCCAGATGTTTCAGAGCCATTTTTGAGGAAAAGCCCAAATTATTGGACCTAGTTTGGCTGCTAGAACATATTTGTGGTCGTTTGTAGCCCTGCTAGCTAGTTTCTTCTGCTAATTGTCTTTTCTTTTTTTATAATTGTTAGTATTTTCGTTTCTCTCCCAAGTCAAATTGGGAGAATTATTTCATTCCTATTTTGCAGCTTAGCAGGAGATTGTGTAAAAGAATAGTAAAGCGACTGAATTCGCAGTAATGTAAAGCTAAATTATTGTTGCACACGATTGATTACGCCCCTCTAGTCATAATGGTTTATACAAAGGTCGATGGAAAGACGTTTTATTTTATTTGTTATCATTGTTTGGAGCCCTTTTATCAACAGACTCAAGCAAGACTTTTTTTTTTTTTTTAAGGGCTCATTCATCATGAGAGGGTTTACTTTTTTTACGAACATGAACATGAATTTTCAGTCGTACACTTCCACACCCCATAAAGCAACTTCCCCTTTTTTTCCTCTTTTCCTCGTCCTTGACTAGTTTCCACCAGATCTGATGTGCACACTTTTTTGTTTTGTTTTGGGGGGTGGGGGGGAAGGGATCGGGGCTTTGTATTCCATAAAATATGAGAATAAAATATTATACCACAACTCCTGCTTGACTTTGTACTCACAGTTCAGCTGTTGTAGACTTTAATTACGAGAGTAATGTGTTTTTGGTGAATACATATCTTTATGAATAATGCATTTTGTAATTTTTCTAAATTAAAGTGTGGAATGTCTTATGAGAATAGTAAAGCTGACTGCTTTGGGAAAATGTAAGTAAGATGGGATCAGAATGTTTACCATGCAGTTCCATTGATGGCCACGAGATGGCGAACAATCTTCACATTTGTTTTTGCTTTTTCTTTCTCTGCACTTTCAAATTAAATGAGCTATAACTAAACATGTCGTCATTGAAATTGAGCTAAACCAAAGCAGAACGCTGGATAATATCCGAATGGAGATGACCCATGTCCATATTCTGGGCAAACTCTGAGACAATCATTTAAGTAAGTTTGCATGGAACATTAAATGCCAAGTGCAAGATTTCCGATGTTCTGGAGTTAACTGATTTAAACTTGAACTCAGACCTCACTGCAAAGTTATGTGACACAAGCATGTTTTCTTTTACCCATAATATACTCCTGTAGGTACACACTTGTTGCATTATGATTATAACTAGGAAAATGCATATGAACCCGATTTGAAGCATTGCTGAAAAATGCAGAAAAGTAAACATGTCTGGAAAGGTTTTTACAGCTCAAATGAATTAAACTTCAGTCCTGCTTTCCTTAAAACTGAATTTGTAAAACTGTCAGGAATAAAGACCAACAAGCTGAAATGCATTACAAGAACTGATGGAAACTGAATTGTAATGCTATCAAAGCTGGAGGTTGGAATTAATGGTTCAAAAACATGGAAAGAAGAATTGCTTTTTGTTAATATTGGACATAATAGTTGGTAATAAACAAACAATCATTGGCTACCCCTGTCGTTATCCGAAATTCTGATTCAGATTCAACTTAATTGTCATTACATAGTACATGTACTATGACGAAATGTAAGTGTAGGCATCTGACCAGAAGTGCAAAATAGCAGTGCAGGAGTTAACATACTAAGAATAATTATAAATGGAATAATTATAAATAGAATAATTATAAATAGGCTATAACAGATGAATATATACAGTGTAAACGGCGTTGACAGTAAAATATATAAACAGGTGGGTGGTGGGTATGGGCTTGAGTCTATCAGGGAGCAGAGTTCAGTAGGGTAACAGCCCTGGGGAAGAAGCTGACCCTGAACCTGGTCTTGGACCGGAGGCTCCTGAGGCGCCTCCCCGAGGGTAGGAGGACAAACAGATAGTTTGCAGGATGAGAGGTGTCTTTGAAGATGTTGTGCGCCCTCTGCAAACACTCTGTCCCCTGGATGTCCTCGATGGCAGGGAGTGGGACATCGATGATGCTTTGGGCGATTTTCGTCACCCTCTGCAATGCCTTCCTGTTGAGCAAAGTCAAAAGTCAAGGTCAGCTTTATTGTCAAGAATTCTACATGTTGTAAATCCAGAAATATCGAAATATCGTTTCTCGAGGGTCCTAGAGTGTGACATATATACATCAAACATCAAACAACAACAAAAAAACAAAAAGGGCCTAGATAACCGGGGTATAGTATACAGTTTAAAATGTTAATAATATGTTAAAGTGTTCAGCGGAGATGGCAGAAAAGTGACTGGTGCTGGATGATGAAGGTTGGTTTTGTGTGTGTGTGTGTGTGTGTGTGTGTGTGTGTGTGTGTGTGTGTGTGTGTGTGTGTGTGTGTGTGTGTGTGTGTGTGTATGCGTGTGCGTATGCGTGTGCGTGTGCGGGTGTGTGTGGGTTAGAGTCCAGGACCATTTGGGGCAGGGGAGAAAGGTCGGAGGCAGGGTGGAGAGTTCAGGGGAGAGATGTCAGAGGGGGGCAGAGAGGGAGGTAGGGAGGGGAGAGAGTTCAGCATCCTGACCGCCTGGTGGAGGAAGCTGTTCCCCAGCCTGACGGTGCCCGAGCTGAGGCTGCGGAACCTTCTTCCTGAAGGCAGGAGGCTGAAGAGGCTGTTGGAGGGCTCACCAACAATGCTGAGTGCTTTGCGGGTGAGGCGGGTGTTGTATATGTCCTGTAGTGAGGGGAGCAAGCATTGTGCAGTTCCCATACCAGGCTGTGATACAGCTTGTCAGGATGCTCTCAATGGTGCAGTGGTAAAAGTTCACCAGAATCTGAGGAGAGAGGTGATCTTTCTTTAGTCTCCTAAGGAAGAAGAGACGCTGGTGAGCCTTCTTTACTATGCTGGTGGTATTGTTGGGCCATGAGAGGTCATCGGATATGTGGACTCCCAGGAACTTGAAGCTAGACACACGCTCCACCGCCGTTCAATTTATGTGGATGGGAGTGTGTGTGTTGCCTTTCGATTTCCTGAAGTCCACAATGAGTTCTTTTGTTTTTGTTGTGTTAAGGGCCAGGTTATTGTCGGCACACCACTTAGTCAGGTGCTGAACCTCCTCCCTGTAGGCCGTCTCATTGTTGTTGTCGATGAGGCCGATCACCGTTGTGTCGTCTGCATACTTGATGATGGTGTTTGAACCATGTACAGGGGTGCAGTCGTGGGTAGGGTTGCAAAGGGGAGGAAAGTTTCCAGAAAGTTTCCATGGAAAGTTAAGCTGGGGAATTTTGGAAATATTCGATGCAAAATTAAAGAAAAAAACATGACATTTCAACAGAACAAGTTTTAATTATTTTATTGAACAATTATTTGTTTCATTGAAGAACGAAAACAGAAATGTTGAGTTAAATGTTACTCATCCACCCCAACCCCACTCATTCAAAAATGAACAAAAATGCACCCCCCATCCAAAAATCCCCACAAAGTCCCATTCAAAATGTTAAATGAAAAGAGCCCTTCTCCCTCCAAAAAGTCCCATTACAGTTTTTCTCGATTGCTAACACACTAAAATGATACATAAAGCACAATTATTTTAACTGACACTCAAAGAGCAAAACATCGGCTCAAATCTCCAAAACGCTAAACACGTTTCAGCTTTTCACACAATTTGCAAATCAACATGGCACTTTTTGCAAACCACTGCACACGTTTCTCCACGTAAGACACAGGATATACATAACACTGATATTCAAAATGCATCAAACATGGACCAATGATCAAGAAACACGTTCCACCTGAGCAAACACCTGATAGCATAATTGTTGTCTCATCAATCAGGATGTTAGCACTATAAAAAGACCACAGGTGAGTACTTTCTTACAGCAACAATGGAAGCCAACATGGAAGCAAGAGCAAGAGGAAGAGGAAGAGCAAGAGCAAGAGGAAGAGCTGTGCTGAGAGTGAGAGGAGGAGGAAGAGTACTCTAATGAAATGAAATGTTATCAACCATGGTTTGACGATGAGAGAGGCTGGACAGAGGGTTCAGCCTAATCCAAGCCGATGCACTGTCGCCTCTGTAATCCGGACACTTAGACTTGAAAACAGGTTAGTTACCAGTTTGTAGCTCTGCATAATTCATGATATATCAGTGCTTATATCTGTTGTGTGAAACGTATTTACTTCATTACTGTAACTGAATTGTTAGNGTCCGCTTCTGGTCAGTACGAAGTCCCAGTCGGAAGAAGGGTCCCGCGAACATGGGACAACTTGAGACCCGGGCGACTAATTTGAGTCACGGGTATGGGGGACCAAATATATAAAAATGACAGTTACGGCCAAATGTGACCACATATCTACATTAGACAAATATCGAATAAATATTAATAAGTAAAATATTATTAAGGTACATATTACATAAGAAGTAATACATCTGAGGACGTACGGATAAAAAACCGTGAAGACCAGTCCTACGGATCTGAATGTAACAGTAGTGATCATGTACATGATACGTTACCCTGTTTATTTCCAACTTAGGACTTACTAAGTGTTTATGCTACTTTGAGACAATTTTTAGGACAATAAATTTTTCATGTCCGACGTATACGAACAGAGTCGGAACCCTCTTGAGATCTGGCTACAAACCCATGTACGAATAGACTTGGAGAGAAATCGACGCGAAGTAGTCTATTTTGCTAATAAAGTTACGGACTCGCGATGACACACAAGTACACTGACAACCTCCCAATTAAAGTCGATCAACACGACGCGATAGTTACTAATGTTGCGAACCACTCTCCTCCGTTGAAATTCTTATCCCTTGTACCAAAAGTCCCAGTTAATCTCAGTTTTGATGATCGAATAACGCAATATTTGTCTGACAGTGGAACATTTATCCCTTGTATAAGAATCTATATCGTATGGATAAACAAACCAAATAATCTGTGTTAAATTTGTGTCTTAATCATATTGTCATTCTTATCTAGTATAAACAAATTCACAATATACCCTATTAATGATGGAACATACCATGATGACGGAATAATGGGTATAACTCGTTCTCGTATAATTCTGGCTTTTGAGTACATGTTGTTGAAGGGGAATGAACGTTATTTAGTCGTGATTAATCTCCCAATACAACTCCTTTTTGACAGTCTGATTACCGGAATAATGACATCTATACCAGTACATCTTATTCCGTAATTATTCACATAAATATTACTGATTATTTCTCGGTATTGTATAGGTACAATTAATTTGTCTGATCAATTAAACCTCATGGAATTTCCCCTGGAAGTACGTTTACGGTCACTCCGTATTTATACAAAGTCTTTTATTTTAGAGAAAATGCAAGCTAATACCTGCTCTTATAGCGCTTACAATCCGACGCGACATGTGGTCTGGGATAGTCTTTGTTCGGGCTGACAAACCTGCATATAACCAGCCACGTACAAATGTAATCGTAGCGATTTGTGAGTCGTCGATTGGACATGACCTATCTCGTACACACACTTCTCGTCCTTTATTTTTTCCCTGAGTGGAACACCATATTGGCCGGTTCTCTTTTTTCGGAAACTGGAGGTTTGACAAAGCGGTCTTTATTAGGAATAATACCGGCAAAGTAGTGGCGTCTTAGACGGCCTAATTAGACGGGCGCTACTCCCGGAGTCGCGGGGCGCGACGATTTGAATATCGGTTTTAGTCGTGAAAACAATTTGCTCTCTATCCTCCCCTATACTCCGCACGATCTTACCGGCGACTAGACAAAACACCATAAAACTCGTTTGTGCAAGTATCTGTACCCGAAAAATCCCGCCACAGATGGCTTACCCTTTAAGACAACCGGCTTTGGCCTATGGCTTTTATCCTTGTCCAACGCCAGCCTTTGGCTTACGGGCTTTCGGCTTCTACTAATATATCTACATATCATAAATTCGTTATCGAGTGCTGTCGGCACCATCATACGAGTAATAAGTAGTGTCCGATTCCCCG